ATACACATTCACCACAGGGACTCTCCACCAAACCAAGGAGGTTCCATAAAACAATATCATTTTATAACATTGGTTCGTTATGTAACTGCCATAAAATAATGTAGGTTTCTGGTTTAAGGAAATAGGCCAGATGAGTTGTTTATTTGCTGAAGACGAGAGCTACTGTAGTTTGTAGCAGCATCTCAGCAGAGAGTCTCCAACCTTTCCTCACAGCAGGAGCTTCACATCATCACGCTGTCACAGACAAAAGCAGCAACAACAACAAGAACAACAACACAAACACTGACAAGAACAACAAAATGTGTCCACTGTGAACCAAACACAAAATATCAGATCATCAGCGTTCGGTGCCTTTGGCTGAGTGGGCAGGTGCCAAGTCCTGATGGAAAATGAAGACTTCACAAAACACAGTGGACCTACACCAGCAGATGACAGCAGCCCAAATCATCATGGACTGTGGAAAGTTCACACTGGACTTCAAGCAGTGTGAATTCTCTGCCTCCACTCTTCCTCCAGACTCCAAAAGTTCTTCAGAGACTTTGGACACTGAGTAACAGTCCAGTTCTTTTTCTCCACAGCTCAGGTCAGACTCTTCTGACATCGTCCTGTGATAGAAATTTAGATTGTGGAAAGATTTCTTTCAATCTGTCTTTGTGTAAATGAATGTGATTTCTACCTGAAACCCAGAGCAGTCATGAACATTTGTAAAGGTTCATCAGACACAACTGTCTCCTCCTTCAGGAAGCCTTTTGTTACCATCAACTGTGTGTTCATTTAGCACCAGCCTCTGGAACCAAAGTCACTCTGCTTTGACATGTATGTAACTTGTCCATCCATCCATTTTCTTCCGCTTATCCGGGGCCAGGGGCATCAGTCTAAGCAAGGACTCCCAGACTTCCTTCACCCCAGACACGTCCTCCAGCTCCTCCGGGGGAACCCGAGGCGCGAGGGAGGCGCTCAGGAGGCATCTGGAACAGATGCCCGAGCCACCTCAACTGGCTCCTCTCAACGTGGAGGAGCAGCGGCTCTACTCCGAGCTCCTCCCGTGTGACTGAGCTCCTCACTCTATCTCTAAGGGAGACGCCCAGCCACCCTGCAGAGGAAACTCATTTCAAGCGCTTGTATCCGTGATCTCGTCCTTTCGGTCATTACCCAGAGCTCATGACCAGAGGTGAGAGTAGGAACGAAGACTGACCAGTAAATCGAGAGCTTCGTCTTTCGGCTCAGCTCCTCTTCACCACAACGGTCCGATACAGCGACCGCATCACTGCAGACGCTGCACCTGTCCACCTGTCAATCTCACGCTCCATCCTCCCCTCACTCGAGAACAAGACCCCGACATACTTGAACTCCTCCACTTGAGGCAGAGACTCTCCACCCACCCGGAGACGACAAGACACCTTGTATTTCTGTATAAATACTCAGAGCTCAAATGTTCTGGAGGAGATACATGGGTAGATACATGGGGAGAGCCTGGGAGATACGGTGGGAGATGTAGTAGGAACACACTGCTGGAGGAGAGGCTGTTGGGTTTTGGTCAGAACAGGTCTAGGCCCTGTCCATATCTGCTGTAACAAGAATAAACCTTGGTCTATATTCCAAAAACTCATCAGGCTTCATTCATTATTGGATGGATTCATTATTTATCTTCAACAGATATATAATTTTTTCCACAACGTCCCATGTCCCATAGAAGCTTCGTCTGTGGCTCTTGATGCTCTGACTCCAGCCTCAGTCCACTCCTGATGAAGCTTCACAAATTCCTGAGTGGATTTTGCTGGAGAATCCTCTCAGGACTGCACTCATCCCTTTGGCTGGTGCACCTTTTCCTACCACTTTTTTTTTTTTCTTCCACTCAAGTTTATGTAAATACGTTTGGACGCAGCACTCTGTGAACAACCAGCTTCTTTAGCAGTGACCTTCTGTGTCTTGTGGAGGGTCAGTGAGTTTGTCCTGGACATGTGTTCAGTCTGCAGCCTTCCCCTTGACAATGAGCCACACTGAGACCATTTGGAGCAGACCTGGGCATTGTACAGACGTGGTTTTGTTCTGCAGCTTCACTTTTTCATTGCTGAGTCAGAACATAAACTCTGACCAGTCTGAGCAGCTCGTCTAAACTGATATTTACTCGGTTTTATTAAGAAAAACTATTAATATTCTGCAGAATTGTCTTAAGAATTTTGGCCTCCACAATATTTTTTTGTTTCTCATGTGGCCCCATGAAAAAAATAATTGTCCACCCCTGATTTGAAGACTCAAGAAACCTTTGCAAATGTTTTCAGTTCATTAGCTGAAACACCATGAGTTTCTAATATTGAACTTTTTCACAACATTCTCATTAAACACACTGAGCCACTGTGTTAAACTGAAGCTCAGACAAAAGTCTCACAGAGCCTCAGACGGAGCAGTGCCTCCAGATAGCGTCACACCCCCAGGGATCATTGTCGACATGAGCTGTAAAGTGTGTGTTGTTGTGTTTTGTAAAGTGTGTGTTGTTGTGTTTTGTAAAGTGTGTGTTGTGTTTTGTAAAGTGTGTGTTGTGTTTTTCTGAAGTGTGTGTTGTTGTGTTTTCTGAAGTGTGTGTTGTTGTGTTTTGTAAAGTGTGTGTTGTTGTGTTTTGTGAAGTGTGTGTTGTTGTTTTGTAAAGTGTGTTGTTGTGTTTTGTAAAGTGTGTGTTGTTGTGTGTGTTGTTGTGTTTTCTGAAGTGTGTGTTGTTGTGTTTTGTAAAGTGTGTGTTGTTGTGTTT